TTTGATCTAGGGTTTGTACTCGTTAGTAAGTCGTATGAGGAAGTATTTCAGGGTCTCTATGAGATTTAAAATTGCATCATTAGGCTTTAGGCCGCTTCTCAAATAGCTCAGTAGTAATGTTTCAAATTTTGAAGTCAAATGACTCAAGATGAAATCTCTGAGAGATTGCAGGTATATTCTGTTGAATAGGTTCAACTAACAAGGAACCTAGTTTCAAAATTTTCTGTCAACCACTTAACATCTTATCATAGTGCACACAATATTGAACCTCCTAAGCTAGTTTTACCTGGTTGGGGACCGCGAAATGATAGCAACCGATGGTTAAAGACCCTTAATGACATGGCTCAAAATCGTTTGCAATGGCACATGTGCATTCACTCTTTGTGTTCTCCAAAATTCTAATCTTCTGAATTCTCCATGTCCCTTTTTGCCTCTTTTCAAATTTATTTCAATAACATCTTCAAACCCTAGTCTTTCGGATTACTGCTTATACTCTTACTACCTCTACCACTATAGGATTTGAATCGACAGCTGCATTTCTGTGCTAATGTGATATGGCAACTCGAACTGATGTACGTACATACGAAGTTCTACGTTGTTACTGACTGACTGAGTTTTTGAATAACAACTCAATCGATGAAAACGTAATCAACCATAAATAACTAGACAAGTACTATATTAGTCACACTATTCAGTGATCAATCAGTTATGGATGACAAATTTTTTAAAGTAACACAAAAACTCACAATGGTTAAATTTTTTTTACCAGAGTTAATACAAAATGCCAATAAATGGTTCACCTAACTTTTTTTATATTTTACATGATTTAACCATTTGTTTCTTTTTTCACTCATTCTCACATACAGATATAAGCTCGCTAATAAAATTAACTGTATGACTGAGGTGCTTTTCGTTTTAAAAAATGATGGTTGTTCAATACCTAACGTTTAATGTTTATTTACGTTTTAAAACTGCATATTTGGAATTAAGTGTGAAAATGTCTAATCTGTGTTATAACTAGGGAAATAGTGAATGATTGTAAGAGATATGATCTATAACTTGATTTTGTAAGATTATTGTAGTTGAGTAATAAGTATATATCGGTGTCATAACTTGCACCCTGTGTCCTTATTAATGTATAACTTAATAATGCTGCCAATTAGAGAATAGTGAATTATCGACCAGACCAATGACGCATAAAACAAGTACAAGCAATCTAGAGTCTTTATCACTTCTGCGTCCCACCTAGGCCCTGCCTGTTTGAGTCCAGAACACCAATCTCAGCTTCTGTGATACGATACATGTATTTTAAACATACTGGGTTTATATACAAATCAGACGGACCAAATCGTATTATAAAATAAGAAACAACATTTGTAAAAGATTTAGCCAAATGTGGTTGTGAATGTGGGAGGTAGTGACTAATAGACAGGGCATAATTCAAGAATGGTAAATCGTATAATAATAGTTCATAGGTCAAAATATAGCTTGTGACAAGAGGAACACGAATATGAATAGTTTAGTTACTTAATAATTATACAATAAAAGTGTATGATTAGTAATAAACCAGAAATCGATCGCAAGAGTTCCCATTCCTTATTCTCATCGAGATATAACAATCGAAATTAATAATGCAATATATGTATGATAAACAGATATAGAAGAACTAAATATTTTGTTAGCTAAAAATGTAGTTTTCATTTATCAAAATTATATATATATATATATATATATATATATATATATATATATATATATGAGCAAAATATTTGTACAAAATAAACATAATTGTAGTTTATTCTATTTGTAAAAGAGTACTGATATTATTAAAGGTTTGCTATATTTTTTGCTATTAATATAAAGAACTGCATTTCAATCAGTTACTGTTCCCATAGTTACATCCTAAATGAATTGTTATGTCATAAGTTTCCATTTGTTTGTTTGTTATATGGAAAACAGTCGACAACAAAAAGCGAAAACTATTATGTTTGAATTGTACATTTTCTTTAATAATCTGATACAATTACAAAATAATAAATAAGAATTTTTGTCTAAATTTGATCGAATAGTTTCAGATGATCAGGCAAAATGTTGGATATACTTCAAAAATTGTTTCGCTGAGATTTTCACAAATACAATATTCTTCATCTTTAATGTCTTATATCAATTCGGTGCCCAAATATTGTGAAACTAGCTATTCGATCAAATTCAAACAAAAGTTTTTATTTATTATTTTGTTATGTTCGAATCTCAGTTTCATTACTGAAATATTACTACGTCACATTGCTAGACTGTTGTCATGGATAGATTAACACACAAATTAGTAAGAATAACGTATTAACTAAAAATCATATGGATCAGCTAATGCTCCTATAAAAGAACTAAAGATTTTGAAAAGAGCAAGAATAAAGATTCTAGCAGAATAGCATGAATTGATTTTTATTCCGTTTGGTTCTCGTCAACTGCTTACAATCTGTGATATTTACAAATCATAATTACATAATGGGTTTAAATTACTTACATGAAAGAGTTTAATTGAAAGTTATATTGAAGACATATTCGTATAGTATAGCAAGGATGTAAATAAATTGAATAGACTGAATATTGTAAATATATATACCTTATATGATGAAAGAACATTCTACAACATTGATTGTGACAAGCACCCCTTTCATGTTAGCGCCAACAGTATTTACAAATTTACGTGTACCTGCCGAAGTTCCAAAAGTCTCAGAACAAGAGGAAGAAAGACTCTAAATAGTGCAATCACCAAACATCTCCTTAATACTGGACATCATGAGACTTGATGGTTATCAACCTAAAATTACAATGAGTCTCATGTGTATAGTACTAAAGGACCATTTTTTCAGAGTGCAGACGTTTTCTACTTTTCATCGAAATAACTCATAGAGTTTATTTACATAAACGTTTAGAAACTTTTAAACCTTTCGATTATATCTTATACTGATAATGTAGTTATATATAAAATTAATTTAAATCATTAGATAGGGGTTTATCTTGTATATGAATTTGATTAGTGTGATTGTGAACCTTTGTTGATATGAATATTAAGGAAGTCTGTTACACTTATAATGCCATTGTATATTGCAACTTGAAATTCTGTTCAGCATTAAGATGAAAAAATGATCAAGAAAGGGAAAAAACAAGAAAATTTTATAACTCGGAATGTCAGGGATTTACACATTTTTACAATTTTACATGCAGCTGACGAGTCACAAATAGGGCGAAACTCGCGTCCTGGATTCTACTGGTAGCTACTATCCATCTCTGTTTAAAAAGCTTGTGACCTAAGGTGATATCGAGGCAATCCACGCAGGATGCACACATTCCAACAAGAGACATATCAATTGTAGTCCTAAACATCAATGGGAAGATTCAAGTAAAACAATATCAAGTGAATTAAACTTCACCCCATCGCACAAGCAAGTGGCTATCAGGACTCAGTAGCTAAGTGGATAACGCGATGGCGTTTGAAGCGAACAGTACTGGGTTTGAGTCCCAGAGTGAACATCAACTCTCAGATGCAGGTACATCTAGCTGACGAGTCCCAAATAGAACGAAACGTGAGTCCTGAATTCCACTGCCAGCTACTATCCATCTTTGCTTATAATGCTTGTGACTTAAGGATATATCGAGGCAATCCGCACATGATGCACATATGCTAATAAGAGACTGATCAATTGCAGTCCTAAATGACAATAGGAAGATAAAAGTGAAACAATATCAAGTGAATTTAGAATAGATATTGGTTATTATAATACAAAACAGTTAGCATAATGTACTTCTTAGCTGTTTAAATATTTGAATTATTATTATGATTATTATGGTTGATTTTATTTCTTTTCAAAATGTTATCCATACTATTTGTAATTTAGATCTGAAATTTTTTGTAATGAATGATTTCATTAAGGATTATTAGAGTGATCAAACACACAGACACACACACACATACGTACACACAATTACATGGTTATATACAGTTTATCAATGATGATCATGTAAAATATGATCAAAATCTAAAGATTTGAATAGAAAACACAGAAAAATACATACTTGAAAATTGAAACAATTGATTACTGGTTATTACTTACGTTATTTAATGGTAAATGTAAAAATACATAATTAAACAGTTACATCTATTGATGTTATTGCCTGAGTGTAGAGTACTTCAATGTATATATATATATATATATATATATATATATATATATATAATTACTAATAATATGAACATTAATATAAACGCATTTGTTAAATGTCACAAGCCTAGATTCTAGTGTACTAGTATAAAGGTATACTTAGATTTAAGTGACATTTGTTTAAAACAATAATTACTATATATCTATATATAATCTTTATTTTAGTTAGATACATCTAATAACATAATATTTTTTGTTTTAAATAAGTAGTACATAACATCATCATCCTTTTGTATAATCTCTACAAAAAATGAAGAAGAAAATGAAGAAGAAATAATGTAAGGATTAATAAAATGAAATTCTATACAGAATAAAGCTAAATACTATTTAAATAAAGATTATTTTCTATACGGAAATAGATAGATTATAGGATCGATATAGATGTGTATATAAACAAATACTTAATCTATAATAAAATTGATAAGATCTAAACAAACATAATATAACGGGATATATTGGAAATATTTAGTACTGAAAGGAATTAACGATTTTGATTAAGATGATGATAGTTTTGAACGTAGCCAATTGTTTCTTGTGATGAATCAATTGAAATATATTGACCAGAATATTGGTTCTTTTAAATCTTTATGTTTCAAGAGTTGAGTGTTTATTCATGTGATTGAAGTTTTTGAGTTCGATCTTTTAAGGTGGGGTTGTTTAAAATGATGGCCTAACTAAGATTAGTTAGTGGTTTAAACTATGAAAATTTAACAACAACCAAAATAAAAACTTAAATACTAATCTGAATCTTTTATCAATTGTTATATTTTTTTTTTATAGACAAAATGTTGCATAGATCAAAATGTCACATCATGTACAGGGAGCCAAACCAAGTCACCGGAAAAACGAGAGCAAGAAAATTACAATATAGATCAACATCATCAACAACAACACAGTCAAATAATATCGAAAGAATTAGATCAGTCAGACAATGATTCTCATTTGAAAACAGATAATCAAAAAAAAGTATTATGGAAACTGAATATTGATAGTGATTATGAAGTAGATTCGTTAACGTTAGCTCGTGATGGTGGTATACTGGATTGGGATGATCGTGTTGTTGATGTGTTAGATGATCGAGAACTGGTGAGTACTTGTTATTTACTTCCTTTTTCGACAATAAATTAGTTTAATTTAATGGATTACACAATGTACAGACTTATTTTAACACTCAAAAAAGTCTAAAGCATTAAAATAACGATGTTTTTTCTGGTTTATAACTGGCTAAAAGTGCTTACTCGCAATTCCACTCAAGATAGCACATTAATTAATGGTTAAAGTTTCAACCATTTGATTTAATTTAGAAATGAAGTCTCTGAATTTGACTATATGAGGAGTCAACTATGTAGACTTCAAAGGCGCTTCAAACTAAAACAAATCACCTGCTTAATGCTGCTGAATTTTTAATGTTTCTGTAAATGTTATTTAATATAGATTATTCTTTTATCAGTAGCCTAAAAGCAAGAATTGTGCACATCATTCGGCCGCAAACATTTATTTATTTATTTGAACACATAAATATTGGTACAAGGGGGCATCAAATACATATGCGCCACACAAATCTCATTTGGTTTGTGTGAGGGCTGTGATACTGCCCAGGTGCTCAAACCGAAGCAGGTGGTTTTCTTAGGGGGCCACACCCGGAGCCTTCGACCTAAAGGTCTGATCCACAAGGCAGTGGAGCATCGTGAGGAGATGCAGTCCCATGGTAGCTGGTGACCAACGATTGGTTCATACGCCATTTGTTCCTTCAGGATCATGGAGCCCATGTGCACCACTGGTTTGAAACCAGGGTTTTTCAACTACCCACTAACCCAGTCAAAGCGCTGGATATTCGCTATTCGTCCTCTCAATTTCGTAAACAACACCCGTTTTGCGAGAAAGCAGTGAGTAGGACTTCACTGGTAGAGGCTATATACAGTTTCAGTTTGGAAAGGACAGGAGGCTTAATGGCCTGTATTAGTCCTGGCAATCGTGTTCTCTCAGTTGATCCAACTTTCTTTTGAAAGAATCTACGGATGGAGCTTCAACCACGTGTTGAGATAATGAATTCCACTCGTTGATGATTCCGTGGGAAAGTCGATAATCAGCTGACAAGTAATTTGTTCTGGGCTTGTGAACTTTTTTGGAGTGCCCTCGTAAGTTGTCTGTTTTGGCCATGTGAGAGCATTTTGAGAGAAAGAACGGGGTCTCCTCACTCTCAACCGTACCAGGGCATTTGGGGGCAACCTGTAGAAAAAAACAAAACAAAAAAGATAATCTGCAGAATTTAATGTCCAACACACTGTAACAGGTTCTGCTGATATCAATATTTGACCTACATTTCAATAAATTAAATAGTCACAGAATAGATCTTCAAACACACTGCTATTGATTAATTATTGCAATAATGATACTTCTGAATGTTAATTCCTCTGCTTCATGGATGAATCAACCATTAATTCGGTAACATAAAAGTTATTAGTATGTACGTTTACATAAAAGAATAGTTAATCTTGTTTGTAATATTGCCTTATTTAAGTACTGTTTTTTCTCATCCGCACAATTCTATTACTAACACAATTTACTCAATTCTGAAAAGAAACTATTGGGTTATTTGCCTTGATTATTATCTTAAATAGTTTTCTGGTATATATATAACCACAAGCATAATAACGAAATAATGGAGGTGGATAAAACCAAAGGGACGACAGTCAAAACAATAACTGAAAGGTTACGAGAAATATTTAGTTGAATGAGATATAATTCTATTCATTTGTATTAGACTGATAACCTGGTTTCACCACATCTACATGTATTTAAGAATTTAGCTAATTCTTTAGAGAAAGTTATAGTGAACACACAACCAAACAACTGAGTCAAATAGTTAGTAAACACCTTAATACATGTTTAGGTAAGAGTATAGTCGAAATAAAAGCAGTTCTGTTCCGTCAAACTTGATCAATAGCAGTCATGTAGTAGATAAGAATAAGTCTTTTAAAGTAGTTTACAGCGTTCCTACTAGTTCACCATGTGTGGCTCGATCTTGTTTCTTACACATAGCAGAAGTTATGGTGATTCAAACTAACAATTCAAATCTTTGTATTTATAAAAAAATTTGCGACACTTTTTTCTTCCTTGGCTTAATCAGCCTTAATTAAAGACTTTTTAACATTATTTTCTATACTCTGTTCGTTTACTTTTGTTCACCCCTTTTTCTCGAATATATACTTCACTGTCCAATTATCGGAATAATTCTTATTGCGAAATTTTTAATGAAAACTATTTCAGTATCTGAATTCACTTGGTTTTGTTTCACTTTTATCTTCCTATTGTCATTTAGGAGTGCACTTGATCAGTCTCTTATTAGCATATGTGCATCATGTGCGGATTGCCTCGATATATCCTTAAGTCACAAGCTTTTCAAACAAAGATGGATAGTAGCTGGCAGTGGAATTCAGGATTTACGTTTCGTTCTATTTGGGACTCGTCAGCTAAATTTACCTGCATCTGAGAGTTGATGTTCACTCTGGGACTCAAACCCAGTACTGTTCGCTTCAAACGCCATCGCGTTATCCACTTAGCTACTGAGTCCTGATAGCCACCTGCTTGTGTAATGTATCTATTTCGTCCGGTTCATTGATGCACTTCTTATTAGGTAACATTGATTCGAGCCTTTATTATTCATATCATAACTAGTACGTCAGTATATTATTACACAATCAATTTGTACTTTTTACTTATTATGCAATCTATTACACTGATATCATTAACTGATTAACTACCATGATTAGTTTAATAATTTCATATATACATATAAATATTATGGTATATATGAATAAAACCACATGAAAACAATATCGTACAGTTATATGTATTGTTTTAATTCACAAAAGGGGAATTTTTTTTAAGATTTTCGATAAACTTTTCACTTATAACTGTGACACGATTTCCTATAGTCATCATGGTTTAATGGATTGAATAATTTTTTCGGACTAGCGTTTTTTCTTAGCGAGTTAGTTTTCCACGGGGTGGGGTCGCTAACTTCATGCTCAACCCTTCCCTTTTATCCGGGCTTCAGATTGGCAGTAGCCCCAGAGGGGCTCCAGGTGATGTTAGTTATCATGGTACTATATTTTTATTTCTTTCTAAAAATTAATTCATATTTCTCACATAGTTTTCAATGGATTATATAGATTGTTAACGAAATACAGATTACTCCTGGTTAACAGAGTTAAGAGTTATCATTAAGAAGTTATTATTTTTAAGTCATTTTGTAATTGTTTATATTATATATCTAAGAAGTTGATATATAAAACTGTTACAAACTCAACAGTGTTTTGAATAAACAAAGTATGCAAATTTTGTTATTTTCTGATCCTTAATTTTTTGTTTAACAAAATGTCTTAAAATAACAGATAGATGGTGGCTAGTAGCAGAATCCAGAACGCGCGTTTCATCCTGTTTGGAACTCGTCAGCTGGATGTACTTGCATATCAGAGTTGATATTCAATCTGGGACTTGATTCCTGAATTCTATTGGTAGCAACCATACATCATTAATTATAATACTTGTAATTTAAGGCAATATAGAGGCGATTCGCACAGGATGCACATATATATGACAATAGAAGATTGATCAATTGTAGTTCTAAACATCAATGTTAAGATTCTAACAACCAATACAACATAAATTAACAAAATATCTGTTTATCATGGTTTTTCCATCATGTAATTCAAACTTTGTTACTCAAATGGAATACATTATGAGGTAGTATTCATTTATAAACTTCTATATTTTGTATTTGAAATCTCATTTTTGATGATTTCATTTTCATATTACTGAATTCTGAAATCTGTTTATTCAGTCTGTTAGTCTTTAGTAATCAAAATATTTTACAATACTTCAACATTTTACCCTTAAGAATGAGTAGTATATATGAATCTCTGTTGTTTTTTGTTATTTAGAAAAAAACAATCTGTCTATTTAGGAAAGATATTAATAAAATATTTCTATTTATGATTGACTACACCAAGGTAATGGGTGGATAATGTCCTGTATGAAAACTAACCTACTGTAAGACAATGTATGCTTACAAATAATTAAATGATATTTTGATGCCGTTGGGTACTGTGAGTTAGATTATTCGATTGCAGGGTTGTCATAGCTATTGTGGACCACAGTGTCAGTGCCTACGTCACGAGAAAGTGAGCCTCTCACTTATTCTGCGAGGCGTAAATCAGTTTGCCTCAGTGACCTTATTTTTGACTGGTTGTCTATGTAGGTTTCATTTGTTCTTGTGTTTTATATTGACTGTCTTTTTTCATGGATCTCTGACCATCTTGCTGACTGACTTTTTACGGATATTCAAAGTTCTCTACGTGTACTGAAATCAATGACATTATATTATATTGTTTCACTGTTGGTCTACATTTGTGTATGCGAAGAAGGAAGTGGAGTCGACTTTGTCCACCGTACCATAAATCGTAGTTAGTACAACTTATTTCAAAGATGATAATGAATTGATCTTCATTCGTCATTATATCTTTAGATTTGCCCAAAACTGAGTGAAGAGATTTTCTTGTTTTAGGAGAGACTTTAAATCCAAAAAGTTTCAAAATCCTCTTGATGATTTTTGATATAGTTTCCACACATGTTAGAACTATGACTTTCTTTAGACCTCTTGATGAAGTTGCTAGAGTAGTCATTTTTATGGAAGATAAATAAGAGTAGCGTTTTCTCAGTGAAAGTGATGGAATTGATTTTTCTTCTTTTGGATAAAGAGTATAAGATTTATAGTTTACCAAACTATTTCTTCACATAAATTCATTTGGTATTATTTACTTGAATCTTTTCACTGATGTTTAATACTGCAATTGATCAGTCTCTTATTGGCCTATGTACATAATGTGCGTATTGCTTCGATATTGACTTAATTCACAAGCATTATAAGCTAGTCACTATCCATTTCTGCTTATTTCTTCACATTATATATTTTATCAACTTGTTATTTAGACTAATTTCCTCCAGGTAATCTATTTCCATAATATCATCTTATGAATGTAAAAGATGAACAGAATATAAGGAACTTTTTAAAATGAAATAAA